ACTTCAGGNAGAAAAGAAAAGAAAAGAAAAGAAAAGAAAAGAAAAGAAAAGAAAAGAAAAGAAAAGAAAAGAAAAGAAAAGAAAAGAAAAGAAAAGAAAAGAAAAGAAAAGAAAAGAAAAGAAAAGAAAAGAAAAGAAAAGAAAAGAAAAGAAAAGAAAAGAAAAGAAAAGAAAAGAAAAGAAAAGAAAAGAAAAGAAAAGAAAAGAAAAGAAAAGAAAAAGTGTTTAAATATTTGTCCAAGCGAATATTGAGGCCTGAATATTTTGAATTTAATTGTTTTGGTTTGGTGTCTAAGACAGGTAAATGATAACATTCCATATATTTACAGCAAGCATTGACTAAGATGAATTATTTATCTAGAGATGGAAAGGCCAAGCAGTACACTGAAGAAGGCCACGTGGAGATGTGGGCAATTGAAGAATGAGAGAGGAGGGTGATAGTATTTCATTTTTAGGCTGAAATGCAAGTGACAACTGTCTACTGTTAAAGAGTTGCTCAGATTCTGCAATATGCCCAGGAGAAGGTCTGCACATACGTATTCCCTGCCTCCCAAATGGGATGAATACTCTGGGGAGTCTTTTTTTGGGTGAGCACAGCAGGGATGGTACTTTCCTGAACAAATTCACATAGTTTCCTGTGCGGTGTTCACCTAAGGCTGCATTCCTACATCACACTGCCTCATTTTGAACTTTTAACTATCAGGAAATCCAGTTCTTAACAAATAATATTTCAGTGCTTTTCTTAGGACAGTGTAAGGATGATTCACTTGTCAGGAACTTACCAACAAAGGGGATTTATGATAGCAAAGGTGTGGAGAAGATAAACAGCAAAGATAAATATTGTCCTTCCTCTGAAGCAGTGTAATTTATTTTAAAAATAGTGGTTTATGTGTCTTGGAGTTGCTTCTTTATTTAGTGGTGTTTACAGTCTGGGAGGCTTTGTGTTTTCAGAAACATGGCTACCTGCATCAGGCTGTCTGCTTTTGTCTGAGCGCCAGTGGGGGGCTGTTGGTTACCGAAATAGCATTTTCTAGAACTGAGAGTAGTGTCAGCAGTTTGTTTCTGGCCATACCCTCTCTTTCTCTACAATAAGCAGGTCTGTATTTCACAGAAATGCCTAAATTAACTCAGGTATGACAGCTGCAGTAGGTAACTGCAGCATGTCATGGAAACAACCTGACTGCCTGCAGGTCTTCAGTAGTCTTTAAATTTAGTTACATGAGCATTTAAAGTGCCCTCATATAATGAAACTAAAATAGATTACTGTTAGTCTAAATCACATAGGTGACAATGTACCGTGATATCCATCACATGCTACCTTTTTTTAAATTATTATCAATTTACTCAGCTATATCACAAGACATCTTATTGTTTTGGAATTGAATTTGAAAGCACCAAATGAAATCTAAAATTGATGGGAATTACTTTTTGATCTCTTTTACACACATGTGGATATGCATGCATGTTGGTGTATGCGTGTATGTATCTCTGGTTATATATATATATATATACACACACATATATATATATATTTGGAAAATAAGATAATGCCTTCATTTCTGATGTGTCTTTAATCCTGAATATATATATATTTGGAAAATAAGATAATGCCTTCATTTCTGATGTGTCTTTAATCCTGAATTTATGAATGTTTTGGGATTTGTTTGGTTTTGGTTTTACCTGGTAGTTTGAATATGAACAAAATAATTCCCAATAAAGAGCTTTTTGAATGTTTATTTCTCTGAAAGGGGAGTCCAGATAGTGCACAGCAGAGGACTGATGATAGGATTGTACATAAATCCAAGGATTTGGGCTTCAGCCTTCAGCCTAGTGTGACACAAGAATTTCCTGTGTGTGTCTGTGCCACCCATGTGTGCTTTGGTATTTCTGCTGTTAATGTAGGCTCTGTTCTTAAAATTGGGTCTTGGATTTTAAATCAGCTGGAAAATGGGAAAATATCAAAGGAGAAATTAAAAAAAAAAATACAGGAAGAGCAGGAATACTTCTAAGAACACTTGAGGAGTTCTATTTTAATGTTTATCTATTTTAATGTGTTAAAAACGTCTAATGCACTTAACTTGGATTTAAAAATTAAAAAAAAAAAAAAAAGCTCTATGATCATCACTTGTGCAGTGCCTGGGTGGCTGAGTGCCAGAGAGCCAGCAGTGGGTTTGCTTTCCAGGCTACACCTTTTGTTTCCCAGAGCAGCGGGGAATGGCAGCGATGCGGATGCAGCAGTTTAGCTCCTGGGCACAAAGGGATCCTTAATGCCAATTAAAAAGCAGACTTAATGAGTACCAAAAGCAGCCCCCAAGCCAGGCCTCCTTAGCTAAAAAAAGATGGGAAAGCAACATGTAGGAAATGATGGAATTTTGAAAATCCCTTAAGAAACGGGGGAACACCCTTTGCTTTCCTTGCTGCATCCTCAGCTCTCCCTCTGCTAAAAGCAAAGCTGTGTTAAAATACAGGGGAGTAACTGGAGGAACTGCCCCATTTGGAAAGTGGCTTTTAGCTAGCTGGGGGACTGTTTGTGGTCAGTGTGTTATTTCTAACTAAAATGGCACTTCATAAAAATAACAAATTGTTGGCAACCATTGCTCTTTGAATTCTATT